TAAAATTTATTGTGGTTATTACAGTTGTTGTTTATTATTTCCCCCCCCCTTTCCCATTCATCCATTCTTTCTTAGGGAAAGGGGCTAACATAAAAGTTGAATAATAATTTTAAAAAGTAATGGCTAACAAAACCACAGCATAAGGAAAAGAAGAACCAATGTGGGAACTGCCAATAAATTTATTCCTTCTCTTCGGGGCTAGCTAACCAACTCAAATGTCTCTACTGAAGCACTGACAGGCTACCATGTGAATAATTTCTCATTTCCCCAAAATCATGGCCACCAATTATCTGTAACAGATGCTCATAAATTACAATCATAAATGCTAGATATGGAAAAGAACTATCAGGTCATTCCTTTTGGTTTGCCTAGGTCAGGATTATTCTAGAAAAAGAGACTATTCTAGTTCTTTGTTGAAAAACTTTCTGTACAAATGGGAAGTGCCTTTTCCTCGGGAAGGACTTCTTATTCTAGACTCAGAGTCACACACACGCATGTTTCGGTCTCTTTTGCACACTGCATGACCCTTGTACTTCTAGTTATAATGAACAAGTCCTTTTATGTGTTCAATTACCAATAATTAAACAATGCAAACATTTAAAATACAGTGAGTCCTGCCATGATTGCAGAGTGGAGTCTGGTTATCACTGCGGTAACCACAGATAGGATATTGCCCTTTTCCTTTTAGAGATTATGTTTTTTTGGTTTTTGTTTTTGGTTTTTTTTAAAAGATTTTTTTTATTGAGGAATTGGGGGGATGGGAACAGCGCTGGGGAGTTGGGGGAAGGGGAACAAACAAGTTGCTGTCCTTTCGTTCTTCAGTCTAGTTGTGGAGGACATTGCTTCACTGGCCCAAGTTGGCACATTCATTGCACTCTTCCCAGGTGAGGCAGATCAGTCGCCGGCTTCTGGACGGCCGCTCACGCTAGCTGCTGGCTACACATGGCAGCCCATGGCAACCCACTGCAGCAGAGGCTGCAGCCTATACTGTCGCCGGTGACTCACGGCAGCCCAGCTCCAGGTTGAGCTGTTGTTCAGCATCTTAGCTGTAGAGGTCAGTGTCACTGTGGGATCCGAACCGGGGCCCTCTGGTGTCCCATGCCAGCTCTTAACCATTGTGCCACTCGACCGACCCCTGTTTTTTGTTTTTTAGCTGAGCTATCCTGCTACCTGTTGGCAGCTCAGTGGCAGCTCAGCATGGGCCAGAGAATCAAACCGGCAGCCCTGTTACTCAGAGCTTGCACTCTTGAGCAAGCTCTTAACCAACTGAGCCACTTGGACGGCCCTGCCCTTTTCCTTTTAAATTTTGCTTAAATAATTTTTTTTCTTACAAATCATCACCAGAAAATACTTCTACAAGCAAATAATACCCACAATTAAGTGCTTCCTGTGCCAGGCATTGTTTTCAATTCTATATATTAATAATTTCTTATTTTATTGTCAAGAGAACCCTAGGAAGCAGGAACAATCATTATTGCCATTTTAAAAAGGAGGAGACTAAGGTATAGAGAGGTTAAATAACTTGTGAAGTCATAGAGTTGATAACTGGCGGAGTCAGAATTCAGACTCAGCCTTTTCTAACGCGAAGTTTGCTCCTACTAGCTAGACAGCATGCAGAACTACTTGGAGGGAGTAAACTTACAACTTGCCAACAGAATGAAGTGAATTCTGAGCAAAGTTGTAGAAATTGAGACATCCCCAACCCTGGACACATGATTAGCACAACTTGTTCTTCAGATGGAGAGGAGGAGTCCCAGACACAGCAGCATAAGGTCTATTCCCCGTCAGCTACACAGTGAAAAGGAATTGAAAGTTCACTATATCGGAGCCCACAGTACATCCCTGCTAGTGTTTTGTGTATAATTACACTTAGGTTAATTGTATAGTTTTTGACTAGGTTTTATGAATCATTACTTTATATTCGTATGCCAAACTTTTAAAATCTATGTTTAAAAAAATACAGGGGTTTCAATTCACTGTTTAGATAAAAAGAACAGAATCACTGTTGCTCCCACATTTGATAGAACTACATGGGTTGGTCCACAGGGCAGTACAAACGGAGACAATGTGTTAAGAACCACCACTCTCTCAATGGAGTATTGAGATATACAGGATTAGGTCTAAAGTGCTGAGATAATTATAAAAAGGAAGGTATTAAACAACAATACTACTAAGATTGAAAATGAAAGACAACAACAAGGGGAACTTTAAGTGCAAATTAAAGCAAGGACTACTTTGAAACTTTAAGGTGGTAAATCTAAATGACACAAAATGTAGAAAATCT